TAATATAGTGGGCCTATTATTTTCCCTTCATTAAATAAGGGAGACAAAGAAAGATTAGTATTAGAAGTCTACCATGGATAGGGTAAATTCCACTGAATTTCCCTTGAGGTTTCTAGCTACATTAGTACCTCTGCGTTCTGGAAATTATATCCCCTCCCTATGTTTTTTAGTCACATTACAATTTTTCTCTATCTGTTAATCAACTGTTAGGTCAACTAATACATAGGGGTGATGTTAGCTATTAAAAGTTTGAAGACACCGATTTTAACTCTCGTAACATATTCCATCTCTTGTGTTCCCTCTGATCTCTCATTCCACTGCCTTGTAACAAACTAACAACAGGCACAAAAGCGGAACAAAAAAGATGCTTCTCCCCAAAACACAACAATCTAAAGCCACCCAATTTTATATAAAGCATCAAAGACTTAAAGCCCAATTTACCAAATAAAGCCATAAAACCAATCCATTAACACGGACTGAAGATTATGGGCGCCATGAATACTTGAAGGGAAACCCATTGACCTACAGATCACCAATTGCACAAAACAGAAGAAACCCATCACTAGAATTGTCGTAAAACACACAATACAACAATAAAATTATAGAATTCAAAGAAAAAGGAGACAAAGCTTGAGAAGCTTACAATAAATGTGGGTATTATAGCTTGGCCTCTAATGCCGACTGGTTAATGCTTACTCATTGTGGGAGAATTTCCACAGTAGATATCACACTCACAGCTAGTGGCTGCAGAACATGAGTCTAGCTGCTGCATAATTCTTGAAAATCAGTACAATTACTCAAAATAAGTTTTTCAACTTTTCTTAATCTCCTCATCCTTTACTAAATACTTCAAATCCTTTCTTATAATACACTTAACATGATTAAAGTCTCTTGTTTTCCTTTCTCTCATTTTAACAAGTTTGTAAACATACTTTTCTCCATCTTTACTATCAAATCTAATATAAAGATCATTTCAAGACCTCTTGCAGTAGGTCTTACTTTCCCATCATTGAGTCATTGGATCAATATTTGCAATAAGTCTGCCTTTCCCTCTCATTGGGTCATTATTTAGAAAAGCATACTTTTCTAAATTCTAAATGCACCTTTCTTTTGGAACTGCCAGATATTGGGAATTTTGGATTACAAAATTCATGGACCATATAAATTTTTGTTTCCCCTTGTTTGCTTGTTCATTGTTGATTGGGTAAATGGTTTGCAGTGCCGGCCCAAGTTCAAGGCCATTAACGCCATTGCCTTGGGCACACAAATTGGGGAAGGCCTCATTTTGTGTGATGCCCATATAATAATTATAAATTTCTTGAGTCTTGTTAATGAGTGTCCCGAAATAATTGGTTAATAAAATTTAAAATGGTAGGGCATTTTATTCACACACTTTTATAAATAATGTATAACATTTTCAAACTTCTTAACATGTGTCTTCACGGAAACCGTTTACAAAATTCATATTTTCAATGCTTCTTTTGTAAATCCCAAGTTTTTTATTTTTTGGCCAGCTTTAATTATCCTTTTATGTTTTATTTAATTTTAAAAAAAATAAATTTAGATGATGGCAGTTTGAAAAAATATTGTCTTCATTTTGTAAGTTTTGATGATTTTTATAAAATTGATAGTTTTTCCAAATTAAAAATTTTAAAAGAATTCATACAAATATTAGGAAAGGAAAAATACACCAATTGACAAACTAAATTATATTTTAAAATCTAGATTATTTTTCAAATGCAAGTATTGCTTACAAAATATTACTGACAATACCCATAACAATTGCTTCTGTAGAAAAAAGTACTTCAAAATTAAAATTTATAAAGCCCTACCTATGGTTAACTATATCACAAGAAAGATTAAGTGTATTTGCAATTTATTTTTGAAAATGATATGTTATAGAAAAAAAAAGTAACACAAAATAATTTTGATGAAACTAAAAAAATAAAAATTAATATTTAAATATAAAAGATCTCATTTTAAAATTTTGCCCCTGGCCTCCTAAAGGGTTGAGCCACCTCAAATGGCTTGATATCTTCTTCTCTGATGGAGCATGATGAAGCTGTTCTCATTAACACCGACGAAGTTTCAAACACATCAAGTCATTCCTCTCAAAGACTATCAAATTCGAGAGCAGACCATTCTTTTGGGAAAGAGATACAGATTCCTATCAACTAGTGGTCCAAAATGGTTGAGTATGAACAATCAGTCATGCTCATCAGAATAGTCTAACCAAATTGGCACCAAAATCAAACGACTTAATTCACAACTGACCTGGACTTTTTGAGAAAAATAAGGCATTTGAAAATCCATAAGAGCACAAGTAAGATAATAAATAGAATGCAAATAATCTATACCACCCTTTCACAGTCTAAGTTCTTCTTCATCTTTTTTATTTTTTGTTGGAAATAGTCTAGTTTCTTAAGTGTACAACTCCATTTCATGTACACTACTAGAGGACAATAACATGTTTAGAGTTTGTTATCACTGCCAACTTCTTTATTTCCATAGATTTTCAGATATCTCATCATGTGCAGCTTCAATTAGGGGCTTGCAAAGGATAATGCATGAGAGAGATAAAAGGAGCATCACTTGATTCTATTGATTTTTTTTTTTTTTTGAAGAAAAAAAATAATTTTGAAAGAGACCTGCTATAAGTACTTCACCAAGAGTATTTCACCGAATTTCTTCACCTTTTATGTGGCTACCCATTCGCCATAAACTAAGAGACGGGGAGTGACCTCCCCTAAGGTTTCTAGCAAATACATTATTATCCTTGTGCTTCTACAAATTATATCTCCTCCCTATGGTTTCCAATCGCATTACAATTTTCTCCCTCCGTTAGTCAATTGATATGTCAACTAATAGGTAGGGCTGATGCCATCAATTAAAATTTTGAAAATACCAATTTTAACCCTAGCACTATAATCCCTCTCTTGTGTTCTCTCTAATCTCTCTCTGTCCACTGCCTGTACCAAAGTAAGAACAGGCATACAAACGGAAGAAAAAGAATGCTTCTCCCCAAAGCTAATCACACAACAATCCAAAGCCAGTCAATTATATACAAAGTATAGAAGACAAAACAAAAATCCCAATTTACAAAATAAAGCCATAAAACCAATCCATTAACACTGACTGAAGATTACGAGTCACCAGCCTCGAGTGCTTAAAGGGAAACCCATTGATCAACCCATGACCAATTGCACAAAACAACAAAAACCCATCACCAGAATTGTTGTAAAACACAAAATATAGCTTACAATAAAATGGGCTTTATAGCTTGGCCACAGTAGAGACCAGACTCACAGTCTGTGGCCGCAAAACACATGTCTTGAAGCTGCGTAATTCTTAGAATCAGTACAATTACAGAGAAGAACGTGAAACTTTACATAGAGTCGCCATTATCGCAGAAGATTCAAATTTTCTTTTCAATTTTCATTAATTTTCTGCGCATCAAAACAGAGGGTAAGAATGGAATAAACGAAAGGGCATTTCAATCAAACACTACTCCCTGTAACAAATACAACAAGTATTCTATGAAAGTTTAATCTCAGAGATGAGGCATTACATTACCCATAAGAAACGCTTCTAGCATATAATCTTCCACGAGAATCGGCATCAATTGAACTGTAATAATGGATCTTCATGATAATATAATATAAATGCCGTACACCAACACGAAAGGAAGTGAAGATGGGTTTCGAATTCTGATGGAGCAGCGGTGTCGGGTTGGGAAGAGAGAGAGAGAGAGAGTGGGCGAGTGTGAGGGATGAAGACGAGGGTAATATAGTAATTTGATTTATTTTTGTTAATTATTGGAGGGCCATGTTTCTGGATAAACTAATTTTTTTTAACAATTTGTTGCCGTTTGATCTGATGATTTTACTTTATTTTAACAAAAAATTAGTTAGAGCACATTTGTGAAGTGTTTGTTCTTTGATACATTGTTATACAAATTAGATTATTTGTTTAGTCACTTGTCGCTTTATGTGCGTTGTAGATTGTCTTCATTATTGTCACATTCAGTGGCGGAGCCAGAAATTTTATGTGAGGGGCACCTATTAATTACAATTTCAAAATTTTTCTTTCCTAATCAATAACAATAAAATAATCATAATATTTTGAGCTAATATTAATCATAAAAACTTAAATATTCATTACAAAAATATCACTAAACTTTCACAATTGACCAAGATGGGTTTCGAATTCTGATGGAGCAGCGGTGTCGGGTTGGGAAGAGAGAGAGAGAGAGAGTGGGCGAGTGTGAGGGATGAAGACGAGGGTAATATAGTAATTTGATTTATTTTTGTTAATTATTGGAGGGCCGTGTTTCTGGATAAACTAATTTTTTTTAACAATTTGTTGCCGTTCGATCGGATGATTTTACTTTATTTTAATAAAAAATTAGTTAGAGCTCATTTGTGAAGTGTTTGTTCTTTGATACATTGTTATACAAATTAGATTATTCTAATATCATATTGCTGAACTAAAATAAATTTGTTCAGTCACTTGTCACTTTATGTGCGTTGTAGATTGTCTTTATTGTTGTCACATTCAGTGGCGGAGCCAGAAATTTTATGTGAGGAGCACCTATTAATTACAATCTCAAAATTTTTCTTTCCTGATCAATAACAATAAAATAATCATAATATTTTGAGCTAATATTAATCATAAAAACTTAAATATTCATTACAAAAATGTCACTAAACTTTCACAATTGACTCTGATGGGTTTTCATTCATTACAAAAATATCACTAAACTTTCACAATTGACCTTGAAGAGTTTTCATCTTTTGAAAGTTTTCCATAATAGCATCATTATCAACGTCATAAAAAATGTCTCTTTCTATGCAAACAACCAAGCTATCATTCATCCATTCATCACCCATTCGGTTCCGCAACCGATTCTTTACAATATTTATAGCTGAAAATACCCTCTCAACAATAGCAGTTGCAACAGGCAGATCAATGCTAAAGTCAGGAGCAAATAAATCAATGGATATACTTTATCTTTTCCAGTCTCCATCATTTTCTTAACAAGATCAGCAATTCCATTCAACCATGAGAACTCAATACTAGAGAGTATGTCGACAATATATGTATCAAGTTAATCATTAAGTACCATGAGAACTACTGTAGAAAATTCATTTGGATAAAATTTAGCAAGATGAATTAAACTTTTCTTGTCAAAATGTGACGACCCCGCCACGTATAATATTTTACATTTAATTAATCAAGGTGATTTAGATTTTAATTAATTATTATTCTGATTTAATTGTGGAATTGATGAACAATGTTGGTGTTGATTTGTATATAATTTTATAAAAGAGCTATTTTGGAATGGGAAATTAAAAGCTTAAGTAGCTTAAGAAGGTGAAATTGACGAATTGAATTGTTTTAATTTAAAGTATCAGACCATATGGAAGTTCAATTAAATATCTGATTCAGTTTAGTAAAATTGAGATTTTATTAATTGGGTCCGAATTAGAGTTGATTAAGTCATGAAGATTGGAAATTAAGATTATTATGAATTAAATTTACTTATGATGTGTTCAATTGAATATGTAATTTATTGACGAAGATTTTGAAGTTTAATTTGAAATTGAAGGCCTTAATGATTTAAGAAACCAAAATTGAGGATGGAAATACGTTTTATTTAATATTTGGAGCCTTTTGGGAGTTTGATTAAAAATCTGATTTAGAATGATAAATTAAAATATAATTAATTGGGTTCTAATGGAAGTCAAATTAGACAGTATGCTGAAAAATCTGGGTGTGCAGAGAAATTCTGTGTGTCCTGAGCAAATCTGTGTATGTGTGTGCATGTGAGTGATGTATTGGAATTCAAGGATGAGTGCACGCGCGAAATGTAAAGAATGGAGTGTGTGTATATGAGGAGAGAGAGAGTAGGCAACTCTATTTTTATTACTTTTTTTTGAACAGAGGACAATACAAAAGAATAACATAGCAAAAACAAACAGAAACCCAGCACAGCAAAATAAAACTAAACAGAAGCAAGACAAGCCACAAGCCCAGGAGGTGGGTTAGAGACCCAGTCAAGAGGGAGACTATTCCGAAGATGATGATGAGCCACCCAATTGGCCACTTTGTTGGCTGTTTGTGGTCTTCACAAAAAGGAGAAGTCACCTGATTGTGCCATCAGTTTTATATCAGCAACCACAGCAGCACATTCCCACGGAGGGACAGATTCTGAGACACTGAGATGAATTACCTATTTGTTATCACCTACGATCTTGACACCAAAGAGGTTTAGGGAGGAGGCAAGCTGACAAGCTAAACGACAGGCCAAAGCTTCGCCTTGAAGCACAGAAACTATAGAAACTTGCTGTGTTAAACCATCAAGGATGCTCCCCTGTGAATCCCGTAAAATAGCCGCGATGGAAGCTTTGTCAGATCCCTTAAGAGTAGCCATATCACAGTTAATCTTAAAACTCCCATTGGGAGGGGGATGCCACTCAGAATGTTGGGAGATATGGTTCAAGGACTAGTGCCACATGAGGTTTGAATTCGTTGTAACTTGCAAAAACTTGTCTCTAGCCCATTGAGCTCGCTAAATGGTGTACAAAGGGTCTGCTGGTGAGGAATTAAACACAAAAGCATTGCGCTCCTTCCAAACAAACCAGCTAAACCAAGCAACTGAGTTAAAAAAATATATGTAATCCTCCTTGTGAAGAAAAGACTCTTGAACCGCACATACCCAATGAAGCACTGAGGAGATAGAAGTCCAGTCCACTCTATAATTCGGGTCACACCCAAACCAAACAACCCTGACCCATCCACAGCCAAATAGCAAATGCTCTATCGATTCCACTGCAGTCTTGCAAATAGGACACATATTTGATGGGCTGCATTTCCTTCTAAATAAATTTTCCTTTGTTGCCAAAGCATTTCTGCACACTCGCCACCAAAAATGGTGAATCTTTGAAGGAACCTTGAGAGACCATACAAATTGCCAAAAATCCTGGGGAATCTGAAAAAATGAGGAGGGAAGTTGATCTTTTGGGTTATTCTCCATCTTACCCGCAATGTGATAACCCGATTTGACTGTGTAATCCCCCGATTTCTCATACTGCCAAATCTGCATATCCTCCTGGTGAGCCAAAGAAATGGGAATCAAACAGATTGCCTGGACTTCAGCTGCCGAGACCAGACCCTACAGATCTTCGACTTTCCAAAGGCCATGAGTAGCATCAATTGTGTCCACCACTGCGTTAACCCGGTTGATGGGTGGTTTTGGGGAGGAAATTTTAAAACCCGGGAGATAAGGGATCCATTTATCATCCCAAAAATTGATGGAAGCACCATTATACACTTGCCAACGGACACCATTGCACAGGATTTTTCTACTTTGAATCAAACTTGCCCAAACCCATGAGGCGCACCGACCTCTCGAGGCTTCCATGAAATTAGAATGCGGAAAGTAGATTCCCTTAAGCATTCTAGCACAGAAAGAATTAGGATACTTTACCAGGCGCCATCCTTGCTTTGCTACCAAGGCTAGATTGAAGTCATGAAAGTCTCTAAATCCCAACCTCCCTTCAGATTTTGGCAGAGCCAACTAGGCCCAATTTACCTAATGAATGCCTTTACTCTCCGGGTCACCATTCCACCAGAATTTTCTTATAAGAGAATTGAGCTTGGCACAAAATTTCTTGGGGAAGATAAAGCATGCCATGGCGTAAGATGGGATGGCTAGCACCCCAACTTTAATTAATGTTTCACACCTTGCATGAGATAACAGTTTAAGTTTCCAGCCCTGCAATTTAGCTTGTACACGCTCAATAATAAAACCAAAAGCCTCCGCCTTTGACCTCCCCCAAAAAGTTGGAAGGCCTAGATACTTTGCATCAACCGGAGTTTCTCGAAACCCAGAGAGATTTCTAATGCTACTCCGAAGGGAGAAAGGGACATTGAGCGAGAATTTGACACTAGACTTGTCAAAGTTGACCAATTGACCGGTTGCATTACAATAGGAACTCAAGATATCCAAGATCTTCAAACATTCAGACTGATTTGCTTTGAGGAACAATAAAACGTCATCCGCAAAGAGCAAGTGAGAAAGAGTGGGACAGTGTCTATTGATCTTGAAACCCGAAATTTGTCCCATATGAAGATTGTGAGTGATCAATTTGGATAAAACATCCGCAACTAGGATAAAGAGATACGGAGAGAGAGGGTCTTCTTGTCGTAACCCTCGAGACGGAGTAAAAGCAGCCCGCTTTTCACCATTGACAAAGACAGAAAAGATGACCGTAGTGATACATTAGGAAACCCACTGGATTCATTTCGGAGCAAAACCCATTCGGCGTATAAGCTCTAATAAAAAATCCCATTCAACTTGATCGTAAGCTTTATTGAAATCTAGTTTAATGGCCATAAACTCATCACGCCCCGTCCTCTTATGTTTTAAAAAGTGAAAAGCCTCATGTGCTATGATAGAATTGTCTTGAATCATTCGTCTCGACACAAAGGCCGATTGATTGAGAGAGATTAGAGATTTCAGAATTTTGTTTCAGCCGGTTTGCAAGGATCTTGGTGATGATCTTCAGAGTGAAATTACACAAGCTAATAGGCCTGAACCGGGATAACTTCACAGGGTGACTCACTTTGGGGATAAGCACCAAATTGGTGTGGTTTAGTTCTTTGAGGAGATGACCACCTAGAAAGAAATTGCGAACTACAGTGCATACATAAGGCCCAACCACAACCCAGTACTTTTAATAGAAACACC